ATCCCAGCATTGGGTCAATCAGATGCTGCAATAAAACAGCAAAAAGCTATATGTAACGTGCCAAAACTAACCTAAAGCGTGAACGTGCACCTTCCACAACATTTGATCTACATCAACACACATGACTACACCAGAGAAAGAGGCTAGCGCTGCTGGTGGTTGGCTACAACAGCAGGGAATAAGGCATTCCCTTAGCCTGCGTTGATGGACAGCGGTAATAAAGGGGTTGAAGTCAAGCATCCAAAATTGAAGTCCTGGCAAATGCCTTTCTCAAGACGACACTGACCCTAGAGCACGCAGACTTGCCCCGGGATTCTTCTCTTTTCTTCTCAGAAATTGCTCCAACACCTAAAGTTACTTTTCATCATATACTGAGAGCTGCCTGGGTGAGAACAGCACCACATTTAGCTCTTCCCTAAGCCCACTTGTGTGGAGAACTGCCTAGTGAGTGTGCAGAACCTAAACCACGAGGGCACCTATAACCTTCCGCTACGTAAAGGCTTCCATGAACTTACGACATAGTTAGTAAATCATAGCGCAAAGGGAGATTAAACGGACCCTGTTTCCCATTCTCCCTTTCCAGGCAGTAGAGGAAGCAGAAACAAAAACAGAAGTCAAAGCACAGCACAGGAAGGGTTAAACCTCTTTTGCAAAAACTCAAATATTTCTAGAGCCCGAGTGTTACTAGGGGGAAGGCCCTCAAAACTTTACTTAGGGTCCCGTATTTCAGTAAGGGGAGTTAACACTTGACAAAATCCTCCAGCCTTAACAAGCTGGCCGAATTTCAGTGTGACGTTACCCTCTGCAGAACAGACGCTGAAAGGTTAGCTGGAGCCACCTTCTTCCCCACCTCTTAAAAGCTGTACTGGTGAGCAGAGGAAAGGTTACAGCCTGTCTCCATGGACTGTTCCTGCTCTTCTAACGGTCAGCAGCAAAGCCGGAATCCAGCAGTTATTCCACGTTAGCTAGAACTTGTTTTTCAGAGTAATGCCCAGCTCTTCTCACTAGTTAAACAGATGCTTCAACAAATGGGACGTGTGAGCTAACAAGGCATTAACGTGAGCAGCTGGGGCAAATTCTGAAGTGAAGTGACCTGGATAGCCACGAGGGACTACTGGATCCACAGAGACAATTCAGTCCATACGAGCACCGCCCCTTTCTTACGTTTGGTTTTTCCAGCTTTGGTCCATAGTGAAGGTATGTAGGTAGGTTATCTTCCCGTTCAGTCTGACAACACAGTCATTGGCTAACTAGGATCCCATCAAGTTTTGTAAGGCAAAAAAGCTCCCCAGTCATAGCCTGCAGTTTCTTACTGGCTTCCCGACAGACAGGCTTTACAAACATTTATCTCCAGCACCACATGGGCTGCAGCTTACACAGACCAGTAAAAGGAAGATTCATATCTGCAGATCGCTCTTTCTTGCTCTGCTGATGTCATCATGCTTCAGTTTACTGGAAAACTACTTAGGATTCCAGTAAGACGAAGCCAAGTTACCAGCTTCAACTCATCAAATCATACCACACCATGTCAAGAAAAAAAGACAAAATATTATACACCAAGCACCAGGAAAAAAGCAGGAGCAACAACAACAAAATCTATTAAATAATTCAGAGAAAGAGCTGGTGTCTTGACGGCCTTCATAGCTATGCACAGGGTAACGTACCATCTCCCCAGCAAACACAGGAACGGGGCCTTTTGTGCTGCCAGTGTCAACCCAAGTTCTTGGATCAACTGCCGAAGTATCTCGCTTCTCCCAACTGCTCAAACGCGAGCCGGGGGATCCCGGCCGGGAAGCGTTCCAAAGCACCAGCCTCCGCCAGCTAAGCAGTGTGCTGCTGCCTCCCAGGCGGGCAACCTCAATGTAATTGGACTTTTTGTTCTTTGTGAGTATTTTAGAAATTAGATCAAGTCCAAGTCTCAGGACATGGTACTTTTTCCCCTTTTTCCTCTAGATATGCATTCTGAGGCTCACGATGCTCTATAACACATAGCTGACAAGTTGGAAAAAAAAAAAACAAACAGAAAAAAGACAGTTCAAGTTTTCAAAGGCAGCTTCTCAGAAGGCAAGATCATTGTCTCCTGTCATGCCACACGCTGGTCAAACATACTGCAGGCAGGAGAGTCATCTGAGTAAGTGTCATCTGTTGTCTGTCTTTAAGAAATGGCACTGTCCGTTAAAAGGACAGATGTAGCAAATTCAACCTTTTTAAAAATTCCTATGTCAGACACCGTACTGCTACCGGTAGCTCCCAAAACCATCACTCTACTTATATGCATCAATATTTTGATAGCATGACAGAAAGAAAGAAGAAAAAGGAATCCGATCTCCAAACTTTTAACGTCCTTGGACTCTCTTGGGAGCTCGTTCAAAGCTGGAAAGCTATTTTAAATGGAGGATTTAACAGTGTAAACATCTGTCAGTGACCAACCACAGTGAAAGCTTCCCTTGCACATTCCATACAGAGCACTAAACAATTAACATTAACGTTAGCACTGTAAGTAGAAGGCTCAAAACAGTAAGTGAAAAGCACAGATTAGTTACTCTTTCTATTCTGCTGTTGGCAGTGGGGTAGATATGGACCAGTCAAACAGCTTTGCTTTCCTTGGCCTGGAAAGAGAAATGGAATGAGGAAATTGTTATACAGCTGGAATTCACCACAGGAAAGTTTTCCTTTTTACCGAGTTGCATTTGTACCTGAATACCTCTTTCTTTTTGCACCCAAATATCCAACCTTGGGAATCTCCCTGCCTCCTTTTGCTCAGCTTCCAACTTGCAACGAGTCTGCCGATCCTAGAAACACGCTAGGAATTGCAACAGTGGCAGCGCCAGCCTGTTTCTCCCCTTTTCCACACCAGCCTCCTTCCTATCACGGTACCGCTCCCGCCAATGATCTGGCTACTGGACTGAGTCACAAACGTGTTCATTATCACCAAGGCCTTAGGCCACAGCTCCAACACAGCAATTCAGCAACAGCCTTACAGTTCCCAGCTGTCTCCTCCTCGACATACGCCAGCCCCCTCCCTCCCCCTTTTTAAAAAACAAAAACAAAAAAAACCACTTTCTGCAAAGCACTGAAGCAAACAGATAAAAGCTTAACAAATGACCTGGCAAAAAGGTTTGCCGAGTTAAAACAAACAAAGAAGAAGAATGGGAGAGGAACGTGAATATTTTTGAGACAGGTAAGTTCAGTAGTTGGTTCACAGGATTACTTTTCAAACTGTTACCTTGGCAAAACAGGTAGTACAGGAAGGCAACTGTTAGGGGAATAACTCTGCCTGCCCACCCTGAATGCTTGCTATGAAGAAACTACAGCAAAAGTGACCGTGATATAATTGACTTTAGCTGGGTACTACTTAAGGTTGTGCCAGCTTGTTTAATGGAGCTGTACTGAACACACATAATTACCTAGAACATGCTACTTTAAACCCTGCTTAGAGCTATTTAATTTGAAATGATAGGTTTATACTAAGTTTAAGCCCACCTAAGGCTACTAAGTTTAAGACCCCTGGAGAAAGCAATAACTGAGTCTGTCTTTAGGAAATAAATGGCTACGGTATACCTGTGTAACCTGAAACTACAAGGATAGACACAACCTTTACATTCCCTTACAATTCAGATTGAAGCGAGGAAATAAGGGTTGGCTAAATAAGAAACATTCACTGCTTCTGCCCTCGTTGGCTCAGTTTCTGTATCACTGAGCTCCTGAAAAGCACGGCTGCAAGAGTCGCTACAGAAAAAAAACAGGCTCAGTGAGGAAGACAGTTATTAAAAGGAAACAAGTAAAGTCCTTGTTAATCAGAAATCTCTCTATAATCAGCAGTAGCAGAAAAGGAAAAAACACTTAACACTTCAATTCGACAAAGAATATTTACATTGGCCAGTAATTTTCAGTTCCTTCTATTATCGCTGTTTCACACTTCTTAGATTCCCAAGATCTAGAATCAGAATTATAAATATTGCCAGTATTTCAGGTGTTATCAGTATTTCACAGAATAAAGCATGGACAAATGGCTTGCTACAGACCACAGGTTATTTAGATAATTCTTAGCCCCATCATCAATGCATATTGCTTTTTCATTCTGGCAAATTAAGACCTTACTAAGTCTCTGTAAGGGCCTTCAGCTGGAAGAAATTCTGTCCCTTTGCATCACTTCTGTGTTTTCCCTATCTTAAAGCAGGAAAGAATTAAAATCTGTTAATGACATCTGTGATTTAAAGTCCAAGTCAGAGACGGCTGAACAGAATTTAAACAGAGTGGGTGCTGCACAGTGCAACTGGATGGCAATAGCATTCCAGCCTCACCCAAGAATTGCTTCACTTTCAGGAGCCTAACTTGACACGGCCTGAACCTCAGTTTTCGGCTTCATGATCTTTTTCTAGCGTGCACAACATAGGATTAAAGGACAGAATGAGGTCAGCTGCTTATTAGGGGCTGTGTTGTATTCCCTAAACTAGAACACCAGTCACAATTTGTCAGTACAAGATCTCTGCAAAACCAGAGATCACATGCTAAAAATAGAGGGCTAATGAAGGCTCATTAATAGGTTAAAAAAAAAAAATCCCTTTAGAATTCTGAAGCCAATGCTAAATATATCTCTCTATATAATTGCAAACGCATTCCGCATGTGGCATCTTGAATTTCCTTATTCACTTACAGCACAATTATTAGCAAAGACTATCACAAACTACATAACCTTAATGTATCAGTTGCTTACAGAGCTATTATTTGCAGAGCGTGACTGAACTTTTCCATTAAGCAGCAAGTTCTCAGAAAAACAAAGCATCAAGGATACCATTGTATTTTGACAGCCATCTTAAATTATTCTCAAGTGTACCTGGACTTGTTTTCTAAAGCTGCATATAAGCACACCGATGTTTTCTTCACAGCATGCTCAGTTTGAAGTAGTTTCACCTCTGTTCTAAGAGGAGAGGTTATCAGATCATCTACAAACATACTGGAAAACGGTTCAGTGGTTTCTAGGTTTCCTGTTCTATGTAAATACTGTTTCAGAAAAATACATAAGGCTAGCGGTTTCCAGCTGTGACGGTAGCTCTGATTAATGACCTATGTAAAGGAATCATCAAAGTAAGATTGCTGAGCAGTTAACAGTACATACCTCATCTCATACACTTCTCTCATCAAACCTTAAACACGCTGCCCTTCTTTAGTTTAGTAACATTAAAAACTTAGTATTTCCACAATGGATGTGGACTATACAACTAGAGAAGCTAATGAACCTTCCTAATTTTCGGAAGCAGAATATAATTTGATGAATGGTCAAATGTGAGCAGAAAACAAGGCAGTTTACAGAAAAAGGTATTTTGAATTTGCTTGTACACGCATGATCCTTCTCTCCGTTTCCAAAGACATGCAGTGAGCTGAAATCTATTCACTGTGTCACACAGCAACGGTACATACAGCTAAATTTTTCATAACTGGATCAGGCTTCTCATATACCTGAATGCAATTAACAAAATGTGTGCTCTAACTGAAATATAGCCATTGTGTATACTTAATGAAATACTAGTCACAGCTTATATTAATTCAACCACCAAGACTGCAGCACATGCTCTTCTGTACCATACAGTCTTCAAATAAGCGTAATTCAAACTGATATTAGGGAAAGTCTAAAATCCCAAAGAGAACAGACACCAGCTCACTCCTTCCTTCCTTGTGTGTGCGTGTGTGCGCATGTGTGTGAATGAACGAACTATTTAGTCTCCTTCTTTGTAAGGTATGACATGCTGGAATATTTCCAAAATAGACTACAATAAAACTCATGTGCCTGTTTTTATTGTGCATTTTTCTAATTCATATAATGTGTATCACAGAGGCAGATATACTTTACCCTTATCTGTGTCATCTATCTACAGTTAAGGGGAAGCTTGTTTTCCATGTGTCATGTATTGGTACAAAATATGAATCTCTCCTTCAGCCGATATTAAAACTGTATTTAGCCTTAAAATATAGCCTGTCTGCTCCAGTGTATCTATGACAACAATATAAATACATTAGGAAATAAATTGCCACTATAAAGGTAAAAGAAGTGTTTTAGTAAAAGGTCAGGAAAAAGTAAGAGCTAGAACTAATTCCTCCTCCTATAAATGAGGCCAAAAGAACTGAAATGGTTTCTGTATGCCACAGAAAAGTTTCAAGTTTGAAGTTCCTTGAAGAGCTGACGTTGAGAATTCATACCTGAAGCAATGCATCTTTGCTTCAAGAGATGAATTCAAATGTTATCCGACAAAAACATGAAGTGTATAAAACATGGCAAAACCAATACCATATGTATTTCAATAATTTAACATTTCTACAGCAACGCAAGTGAGAATGGATGTGTTGTTCTTATATCACTGTCAATGCTGTATAGAACGCAAAGTGCTTTGAGTCACTGTTGTAAAACCTTTTAGTAACATACTGAAATAAAACTAAATTGCATTTGGGAAGAAACGTTGACGTAGAAGCTTGAAGTGATTACAGGTTTTAGTAAGGATTGGGGAAATTACTGTAATTCTTCAGCACTGTTACAACAAATCATCCAGCTACAAAAGTGTCCTTTAAGTCAGAGATGCCTAGGGTACCAAGCTTTTCCTTTACACCACATGTAATGCTGTATAAAAAGAAAAATTAATTCAATGAACACAGCAAGAGAAAAGTGCTGCTTTCAGCTACACCCCAGCAACTCCTCCAGACTTCAACAGGAGTTTGAGTGTGCGCCCAAACGGTAGCATACAAACAGAAGAGTAAGACCTTTTTCACAAAGGAATACAAACCACTGTATTTACATATGGATCAAGCACACTTAGCCCCGAACACAATTTCGGCACTGTTTTCATCATTAACAATAGGCTTATTAAACATTTTAGATTCTAACGCTTTTAGTTTTAGCACAGTTTTTTTTAAACACGTGGCAAATAACCTCTAACATAGTTAGTCCCTTACACTTAATAAATAAGAAGCATCAAGAATCCTCATGGCATTGAGATGCGTAGAACTATTAAATGGTTTCAAAGTCCATTAAGAAAAAAAAAAAGTCTTTTGTTATTACAAAATTGTACTTGATATTCTTCAAAGAAGAATGGCCCTAACGGTACGTCCAAGTGCCAAAACAAGCATCAGTAAGAGAATCCTTTACTGCATGCCAAACCACTGTTCTTGATCTGCCCACTGAGCTGCCTCGCTATCACTGCCTTCCAAGTCCCCCTCTTCTCCACTTCCCTCCATATCATCCACGTCTTCTTCCTGGGTTGCATCTGTTGGACTTTCCTCTTTTTCCATTTTCTGCATTCCTTCTAATGACTTCTGATCATTTGGATCCAAACTGATGAAAGAAAGAAAAGGAAAACATTGCCCTAAAAACCTAACACCATCAACATAAGGAACATCGTTATCAAAGTCTCATCTTGTTTGCTGCGCTTCCTGCTTAACGCCAAGAATTTAAATTTAAGATGATAAAACTTCACCTCAAGCTGATAACAACACCAAGTACTACGTCTTTATACAAATTATTTTGAACCCCAAGAACGCACCTATCTAAACATCATATCCTTCCAGAAAGTTTAGTCAACTCTTCTGGGCAATACTAATTATTATTAGCAACATGAAGTGGTAAAAATTTAAACGACCATGACCAAATAGATCATATACAAGGAAAAAATAGCTGTCCCATTTAATCTATGTAGATTATTGTAGCCATAATGCATTAGATTTAGGAAAACATTCCAAGACAACATTTAGATTCCTGATGTTTCATTGAATCACTCTGTTTAAATTTACTTAACCGCTCATGTTTATATAGCACTTTCCAGTCTAAAGGAGCTGAGCCCCAGGTACCTGACTACATAGTAATTTAGTAACCATAACTAAATCCATGCCTTAATCTTTCTGTTAGTCCAGAAATCGCAGGCCTGATGACATGCTTAATGTTAATACAAACTTAAGGTTGCAATTTTGACTTGTCTCCTTAAATTTTGCAGTTCTCTATTCAAAAACCTTATGATCAACAAAACTCATCAACAGAATGAGATTTAAATATCTGTGTTTGTTTTAAGGGATAATAATGTAACACCACCTCTTATGCACATCCTGATCAATTAGCAGCTCAATTTTTCACTTGGTCAAGTGACTACTGGTTCTCATAAGCATACTTCAATCTCAGAGATCTAAGGTTTACCTTAGAGCAATGCTGTACTGGTCCATTGCTTCCTGATATTCATTGACAGCTACAAGAAAGTCTCCCAGTATTCGATGCAGAACACAATCACTCTGATTAGCCAGTGCGTTCCTCAGCAAAGCAATTCCATCTTCATACTTTTGTTCTCTACCTGTTTATATGCAGAACTATAGTTTTCATTAATAGTTTAGATAAATCATCTACAAAAAGTCAGAGTTTACACAAAGAGCTACCACAACAGACAACTATTTCTTCTCTTGGAACTATCAGCATGACGGATAGTAGTAGTTTACTTTTTGTAAGCTTAACTCTTAACATCGTTTTTCGTTGCAGTAACTGCTACACTCATGATTACATGTACTCTGCAGCCAAAACATTTAGCTTGCAGCTGTTTTAAGTGCCGCTGTAATGTCAGCTGCTAGACTGAACTAATTCCTGTACTTTTTCCTTCAGAACAGAACTGACAGCTATAACATCAGTGCAATACTTCTCACTGATGAGGTAGCAGCACACTTGCATTTAAAACAGCAGGCCTCAAATAAATAGGACATGGAAAAAATGAACTTACTAAGAAGTTCTGCTTTCTTTACCACGGCTTTAATGTAATCTGGTCTTTGTGTCAGTGCTTTGTCCAATAACGTTTTTGCTTTTTCCTGTGTGACTGGGTCTTCAAGACAGACTGTTGCTAGCAGAGTGAGCGTCTGTGCGTTTGCTCCCAGAGTTTTATACACATTATTTGCCATAACCATAGCTTCGCGGATACTGTTAGATGCTAAATAACATTCGATGAGACCTGATGATAAAAAGGAAACCATTAAAGCTGCTGAGTTAGTACTGCATGCATTCACCCTCCTCAATTATTTGCGCTCAGAGGCGCCGAACAACTGACGCTCCAATAAGCAAAAACAAATTGCAATAGAGACAGTGACTGTATGCCCAAGAATTTTTGGAGTGGAAGGACAGAAGAAAGCAGCCAAGGAAACTTGCAGAGAGGGAAGTTTGGACACAGACTAAAACAACATGCAGTTTTACAGGAAACCTACGATAGAGGTAGGAGATGGATGACCTTTTTCCAAGACCAACATCTGACAAAAGACTAAGTCATGACAGGTTACACATTTCTTAAGTGCAGGGAAACAAAAAAATATATATATTCAAACAAATAAAATTGCATTACAACTTTTCGAAACGCATGCCTTTCGCTTCAACAGGGAAGCGGGGAATCTATAACACTTTGCCCACTACAAAGAACAAAATGCAGAACTAGAAGAGCAAGGTGAATCAGATTTAGCACCCTCCATTCTGAACAAGTTTAAAAAAAAAACGAAAAACAAAAAAAACCACACACACCCTTACATTCACTGCTGAATATAAGAGCATAATCAGCTTGTTTTTACTTAACCAATAATTGCCTAACTGCTGGTTACAAGGAACAAGTTATCTTAAAGCTTATAGGTGGTAAGCCATTCTTGAAGTGGTTATGATTAACAGACCACAACAAGGGGACAGATGAGGAAAAAATGGCAATTCCAGATACTAGTCATCAAACAAAACAGGTAAAGCAATCAGGAGAGAACTACAGCGGAGTCCTAACAAACACATTACATAGCACAGCAAGAGTTTTGTAGGCAGATTCACTAAGACAGTTGAATTATTCCACAAGCAACACATGTCATCAAAAAAACAGCACACTTGGATCAATATCATCCTTTGCTATCATAATTTTGCACATCTTGTTTTTTCTTTCGTTAAGAGAAGATTAATATTATATTTAGCTCTGCAAGAAAACGTACATTCCTCTGGAAACAGGAATATTTTTTCCTTCTTCTCAACTGCTGGTCATCTAAACTTGTTCTTATTTAGGAGAAGGAACGACAAAATGAAGCTCCCAGTACAACTCCCAGTTAACGTCATCAGTTGCAACCGGTCTGCTCAACGTTAAACAAGCTCAAAAAAACCCCAAACCAACTCACTGAAAATCACACTTACAAATGCATTCCCTAGATTCTCTCATCTGACTGCTTCTACCAGAGCTTTATAGGTTTGGGGGTAATAATAATTCCTTTTCTAGAAAGTGAGCAAGGTCAAAGAACTCTAATCTATTCCCTCTTCTGCCAATAAAAATAATTACACCAACTTTAGCACCGGCACCAAACCAACAGCGCACGTGAGTAGCTTTACTTCACTTACCTTCATAGCAATCCAGCCTGCAAGGTGCAAGACGTATTGCTTCACGGAAGTGTATAATTGCTTCCTGTACTCGACCCATATTCCTAAGAGCAGCTCCTTTCAGTAGCAGAGCTTGAACGCTATTACTATTAAGTTGAATAGCTTTGGCTCCTAAATATAAGGCACGGGAGTACCGTTTACTGTAGAAACTATGACACCTATGAAAAGATAAAACTGACTGTAAACATCTAATGCCTGTGGTGCCTACACACATTCACAGAGGCTGGGAAAAAACAAAACAAAACAAACAAAGTAGTACTGGCAACTGTTGAACTTCTTGCATTTAAAGTTAAAAACAAATGTTTGGAAAAGAAACCGTTCTTTTTCAAAAGTCAAAAAAAAAAAAAAGCAATGTGAATAGTAACTGTTACAGGTATTTAATATCACAAACCTGATAACTTGAAGAGCTTTAAGCATACAAAAAAACACCAAAACGTGTAGGGTAGAAAAGCACCTTCTGAACACAAAAAGCTGAATACCCTATATCAAATGTAATCCGCTTCATGCAGTGGATCAAGGGTTGAGACAAAAAAAAAAAAAGAAAAGAAAGAAAATAAATTACCCAGATACCACCCAGGGTTCTGCATGTTGATCAGAAATATTGAAGAGACGGCAGCCCAAGTTCTCTACATCCTCTAGTCGACCTTCACGAGCCAATAAATAACCATATACATCCATTCCTAAAATGAAACGTTTGAAGATCAATCATGTTATCCGAGTTATTCATTACAAAGTTTAAATGTTCATGGAATACAAACATCAAGGACCCAACAGAACTCGAGCACAAGAGCCAGTGTTTAACACCACTATTTTAGCAGCAGCTCTGAAATCCTGTGTTTTGCGACCAAGACTCCCTCTCTGATAAATCTTTTGTGCAGTAACACAAACGGGGGAAATGCTACAGCCTCGCAAAAGCTTTTAACCAGTTTATATTTCCCGATTTCAGTTCAACGCAATCCTACTTGTGCCAAGAGAAGGGGATGATGTAGAACAGGGCCACTTATTTGGAGCACAGAGATGTACTGCTGGCTTAAAATACTACTGATGAAATTATGGTACAACTCAGTACAAACCACTGGCTGCATTTCAACAGAACAGTATGAGGAAATAAAAACATGTACAAATTCTAATTCTTCTACAAAAAATGCAAAGTTCATTCACAAGGAAAAAAAAAAACCATAAGCTTCTTGCACTAAATCATTCTCAGTACACGCTTCTTTGGCAAAATGTATATATAGCTATGCTATCTTCTTGATCATTACAATTTTAAATAACTTTCAACACAAACAACTACTTTGATTTGTGCAACTACCACGAACTGTTCAACATATAGAACTTATGAGTGTAAATTCTGAATTGATAAACAGGTACAGCAATATTCAATATTACACTCAATGCTTAACTGCATGTACCTGCTGCTCTAATGTTACCCACAAGATCACTAACTAGACAAGATCTAGGTAACCTTTCTTTGAGGATTTACAGCTACTCACCTTTTATTAGGTAAGGATCCAGCATTTGTGCTTGTTCAAACTTTAGAATGGAGTTTTTATTATCTCCGGCTCTGAAGTACAGGTCTGCTAAGCTCCCCAGTAAGTCTACATTATCCCTCAGTAACGACTTTTTCTCTAAAGAGCTTTGAGAGAAAAGAAATGCTTCTTAAATGAGTGCCGTTTTTAATACAATTATATATAAAATGTTACTTGACGACATCAAGCTCTTTGAACTCTTACCAAATGGTATTGATTGCTCTAGTGTTATCTCCAGTGTGTACGAAAGCATATGCCTTGATCCACACTGAAAGCCAATCCAAGTTAGGAATACTCTGAATTACATTCATTGTCATAGACGCGACTTCTGCACCTTTCACTGAGAGCGAGAGCAAGCCTGTTCAGAAAGACACCTTATTCAGTTTCAGCCACCAGAAACTGCTTTTGAAACAAGTCAATTGCCTGAAGACCAAAAACGCCATCCCTTGACAAGCATATACAAGCAGTTCGTTACAGTATTCCTTATAACTTGCATAACGTAGGCAATACACGACACGCAAATTGAAGAGAGCTACCTAACACCTAGATATAATGTGAATTGCAATACTTAAATATTGAAATACTTACTGTGTGCAGCATACCTACCTAGAATGGCATCAAGCGCTAAAGGGCACTGTCTCAGTACTTCTTTATAGCTTGTAACAGATGAGCGTTCTTGACCTGCTTTTTTGTACAGATTTGCCAACATCATATTGATCTACAAGCAATAGAAGCAATGGTAGAGTCAATTATGAGAAAAGAGAAATACTCGTTAAGAAAAAGTCACAACTTTTGTCTTCAAGCATGCCTGCCTCCCTCCCTCCTGTTCTGGGCAGGAGATAAAATTACCTGTTCTTCTGAAATCATTATAACATACCATATACTACAAAATTAAAATTGTTTCTTCTTTCTGAGTCCAAAGGTAACATTTACATTCTTTTGCATTTGTATAGTGCATCTTGAAATCTCAGTGTTTTGCATAATGAAGTCATAAAATGGGCAAGGTTCATCTATGATGCCAAGAAGGACCTGCATATCCATTACATTACATCTTTCAGTTGATCTCTCCATACCAATGGAAGTCTTCGAGAGAATTAGCTTAGGAAGGCAGAGAAAGTTTTCATTTAGCTTCTGAATAAAATCATGATGATGAAAGAACAGAAGTGATTTGAGCTCTACACAGCACAACTAAGTGTGCACAACTATTTTATTTTACTAATGTGTGTGAGTAAAAAGTTTGCTTTTCTCAATCTTTTCTTCTTCTTCTGTTCTATAAGTTTGCATTTGGGCAGTATACCTTGACATTACCAAAGTCTAGGCCAGATACACTGCTAACACAATACGTGAATGCTGTTAACATGAAACATAGTTGACTGACTTGATGTATTAAACCTTTAAGTCCTGATAGCATTAACTGAGCCAGCAAGAAAACGCTCAACATATTTGTCACTGCAGGCCACTGTGGGATCTCAATATTTAGTATTACCTAAACTTTTATTAAACAGGATTAGAAGAATTTGAAAGACAGAATATCAGCATTTCTTCTATTTGCCAAAGTCTTCAGCCTTTCAAGGATCCCACATGGCTCAAACTCAATGATAAGGAGTATCGCTTCCTTTCTTACACTCTGCATTCTCTGGTGCAACCACGTATTAAAACATCTGCTTGAATCGTCCAGTCACAATTTAGCAAATTACATTGGCTGGCTAACTGCAGTTACGTTACAGAACCATTAACCTTGTGAGCTAATTACGGCACATGTCTCCCTTCAACACTAGCTTGGGACAGGAAGGACAGCTCCTTCCTGTCTAGTACTCCTCCGTAGTGACTAGGACTATAAGTGGCTCTAACTACAAAGTACAGTACAATAATTTAAATGTTTGCCTCAGAACTGCAGCGAGTCATTTATTCTGCTATTTGGCAATCACTTACTAATTTGCAGCGACTCAACCGTTTGCAATCATGTAAATATTTCTATAGGTAGATGCAATTTATATTGCTCTTGTATAGATCAGCTACTATTCTTTGTCCAGTGAAAACAACACATGAAAGTATCCAAAAAGGAAACACCATTCACTTATGGATGGTACAAATTTCAAAGCTTACATATGGATATACAAGTATTTAACAAACTTTCAGTATCAAAAAGGGCTTCTTCATCCTTGTACATAAAATTCTAACTGCCATGTGCAGGTACTGAAGAGTTAACCAGGCCATTGACACAAATCAGTAAAGATACAGATAAATATTTAACTCCCTCACCTTTTTGTGAATTCTTTCTAACAGAGGCAATACAACATTTGTCTAGTTTTAAAGAAAAGATACTAAACAAACTCAGCTAATTTAAGACTACAAAGCGTTTCCAAGCAACATTTAACTAACCCAAAACAAATACTAATATGCAATGCCGTTACACCTACAGGCTACAGTGTCATTTCCGACTACAGATTCAAGAAAAGTTGATCAAGAATTTGTGACAAACGTCTGCCAGAACCAACCTTTGGGGTCCTCTGTCTGGAAGGAATCCCATCAAGAATAGCAATAGCATCTTTGTCTTGCTTCAGCATTGTATAACACTCAGCCATTTTATATTTCACTTCAATTTCAGATGGCAAACACTGAAGAGAAAAAACCCAAAAATTAAAACACATACAACGCTGTTTCAATCAAGTAAAAAAAATTGGAATAAGGTTTCTCATTAACATTTACGCTACTGTTAACAAAGTGCAGTGCAAGAAAGTTAACAGTATAGCCTACTGCTATAGTTCATATTGCTTTTGTCTACAAATGAAAAGCATGAATTACGTGTTCTAAAATCTCACGTTCCAGATCAAATCAAGTTTTTCGCTAGAAAGCGGCACGCTGATATTTCAAAAATAAAATATCCTTAAGTGTCTAGATTCTTTCATGCAAGTCTGTTATCTGATGCGACAACATTAGGTCAGCAACATTAACTGAAAGGGGTGCGTGACCGTCTGATGTAACATATTAGTCAGTGTTTAAATACCTGGCTTTGGGGAGTTGATGCAGCATTCCCAGTAGAAGGTCTTACTTTTGAAGTTTTACTTAATGCTTTTTTCTGCTGCAAGGCCATTGTATACTTACTTACAGCATTTCTATACTCTTTGTCATGGAAGAGAGAGTCTGCATGATATACAAGGAGCTGGTATTTCTGAGATGGTGAAAATAATTCCCTAGAGAAAACACAAACAGAGAAGCTGAGATCAGCTAACCGCATAAGAACGAAAACTTACAGATCCAAAGTATTTCTACAGCTTGGGTTTATCTGGCTTCAACTTCCAACTGCTGCTGCTTCTTCTTCACTACAGCAGAAGGGGTCCCTGGGTAATTGGCATCATCTCCTCACAAAGGCATCATCTGGCCACTTTCTAACATCAATATACAAAGCTAATAGCCATTTTTGACATATTATCAGCAACAACAACTTACGTTTAGCTGCTTGGCCACTGCTTTCCATAACGGATCAGCCCCCATCCTCCCCATAACAAGCCATATGTCGCAAATGCCCGTTAAAGCACGTTTTGTCTGAACGGACTCAGGCTGAAAAGGCAACTGATCTCCTTGTACAGCTATCCTGGCCCCAATCTACACCCTACATTTTACAAGCCATCTTTTTTTAACAATTCCAACACGTTTACAGAAACGTTAACGACTTAAGGCTTCAGAACAGTATTGTGGCTTTAACTAGTACCTCAGAAACCGTCCCGAATATAAAATACCACCTCCCAGGGAGATCCTGAGAGAGAAAAGCGACCGCAAGGGTCAGCGGGAGAGCCGGGCCCCGCGCAGGGCGCCCTTGGCCGGAAAGGAGAAACTCGCTGCCTCTTTGCCGGGAAGCCCCCCGCACCCCGCAGGCTGCGTGGCGGCCCCGG